ATAAATCATATGTATAAAAATCATGAATGTTGTCTAACCTAATGCAATGATTGGCTTTGACAACATCGGTTTAAGTATAGATTTTCTTTTTTGACATGACGAACAATTTTTTAAAAATATTTGTAATAAATCTTTATTAAACCAACTATAATTAATGAGTAAACTATCGAGACATTTATCTCGACCACCATGTGCAGTTTCAGTATGAATCTTTTTATATATATCATACATATTTTCATATAACAAAATAGGCTTTCCAAATTTAATATCACATAAAAATTGACGTGTTCCAATTACACGTAGTGCAAATGAATTACGACACCATGATATAAAACGTGAATTATTTTCTGTTGAAGATAAATTATTTTGTAAACATGCAATTATCTTTTCATTCATTTTATTAGTAATTACTGCCTTTTCTTGAAATTTAATATTAAGTGAATTTATATGTTGATCAGCTTGCTTATAAAAGAATTGACGTGATTCATTATCTGTTGACAATATAGAGGTCATTGTTATATTTATTATAATTGTGATAATTAAAAGTTGTATTCTATTCGATTATTTAAATATGCAAATACATAGTTTTTTTACAACAAATTCGAATTTTATTTCATTATTTAAAAAAAAATCAAGTTTTCGCGCCGAAAAAAAAACAAATTTGCCTGTTTAATTTTGCCTGGGACATATACAAACAGATAATGATGTTTTTTAATTGAATATAAAATAACTTTTGTTTATTTAAGAATTTAATATCTGTGGGATGGAAATAGTTTTTGAAATGTTTTGGAAATTGAGTAATATATGCAGCATAGAAATAATTTATTTTTAAACAATTAATTCGTGTTGCATCTCTTTCAAAATTATGTGTTACTTTTTTCAATGTTTCATAATTAGCAAGAAGATTAACACCATTGGATAAATATGTTTTTGTATCAAGTAAAAATTCGTCAAGATAATCTTCATAAGCCGCTTCAAGACTAAGTAGAGTGAGATGATGATATTCACTGATTGTTATATTTTCATTTTTTGATTTTCTACATTGTTTATTCGTTTGTGCTTTACGATTATCTACAGTTAACTTTTTCATATATGGAAATAATCGAGCAATTTGAAGAAAAAATTCATGTTCAAATGGACGACCATCAAATAATGATACTATATTAACATATTTAAATAATCTACCTGGAAAATTATTTGTTATTTCATGGTAATATTTCGATTTATATGGATATGAATAAATATGACATTGACTATATAAAGATGCTTGAAAATAATCAACACAAGAAATAACTTGATTATATTTAAAATCTTTGAATGTTTGTTTAATATCTTCATTTGATGGTAAATAAGTTTGGTTTAAAGAATAATTGGTTGATCTAATATTACAAGTAGCGTTCATCGAAACTCAATTCACTTAGCCCTAGCCTGTCGCGGTCTGCATACTGATATAACTGTATGTAGATACGAATGAGAGTTAATCAATATTAGTTTTGATTTTCAGCGGGAAATCAAGCTGAATTTCTACTTAATATAAAATCAAAAATTCTCTAAAACTTTGATATTTGACGAATGAATAATAAAGTTTAACAATGCTTTAGCTTTATTTAAGTCAATTTTATAAAAAATAGAGTTTCAAAAAAAATACAGTGTAGATCTCTTTATCATTATATATCAAAATTGGTTTTGAACTCTTTTATCTACATGCACTATAGCAAGACTATTAAACTGACAAATTTATTAAAATGTTTTACAGTAATGCAGCAACTAAATTTTTAACATGGAATTACAATGCGTATGTTTCTAAGCTTCTCATTCTTGGTCTTATTTTAATAAGTCGTCGTACAGGACGTTTCGGTACATCATCGTTTTTTTCAAATATGTATTAAAAATATGTGTCGATAATAATAAATGATATGCTATAGAAAAATAGATGAAATTTTTTATCACAGCTTTAGAATACTGTGTACACGAACGTTTCGTTTTTTTTGTTATTAATATTATCTTCATCTTTCTCCGTATTAAAAGTAAATTGGCTTTGCCACACTATTTTAATTTATTGAATAAAATAATGATCTATATATAATTAAGAAATATTTTAGATATTTAAGTTAGACCTCTTTTCATACGATTGAATAAAATATTGTATACTAAATATTATGTAATTCAAATAAAACGATAATAGCAAATAAAATTATATTATCAAAGATATGTCATAGTTACATGGTCACTTGTGCCATGTTACCAACAAAAATAATACATGCAAATAGATAATTCCCGTTTCTAGACTCTATCCTTTTCAATCTAAGGAATTTTGCATAAAGAAATGGTTTTTGTAAACTTGAACTAAATTCATGAATAAATTCTATTGTCCAACTATGTTAGGTTATTCGATTAGTATCTATGACTCCTGCCACACGTTCGATACGTAAGCGAGAAGAGTGACTATCGGTAAGCTTAGTCTGTATCAGAACTCCTCTCTCCCTAGCTAAAATCCTACCTGTAGTTGTATTATTCTCGATAAGGGGATAAAATAATCTTTGTGCTCTTAAGTCTGTGTGAGGGAGACTTATAATGATGATAATCACTTGGTAAGTTTTTGTAATGAAAAAGGTTTTTTATCTATTTATCTATTTATTTTATTTTCAACCGTAAAAAGGTTGAGTTCAAAAATGTATGTATGTATATATATATATTGAAAAAAGGAAAAAAAAACAAATATGAGGTTAGAAAAGAAATAAAGCTAAACTGAAGAATTAGAAAATTTCTCCTATCTATATATATATAGATAAGAAGAAGAACAAAAAGAGATAACCTGTACTCTGAACAAGAAATAATTATATAAAAGTTAGCGACAACATAGTGTCACCAGTTGACGCTAACAAACCATTTCTTGGCTTAGCTATATTAACTAGAGAACAATGTAACGTCAATCTTGGTACTTTATACATCCATGGCTAAAAAAACAAGATAATTTTGCAAAAAAAATATAATTAATTTTTCAAAATTTTTACCTCGAGTTGTTGAAGATATTTAATAGATACAGATCGTTCAACGCCATAATCTGCTTTAAAAATAGTAGCATTACCATATGAAGCAAGTTGACGTATGTGTGCTCTATACCAATCATTATCATCTGATGGACATAAACAGTAACTGCCATGAAGCCATTGGGGATAGCAGTATTAAAAAATGAATAGATATATGAGTATATTACTGCTATAAAATACATCAAAAAATTTTATCAAATTTTATAGGCTTGGTATTTATTCGAACTTTCGGTGTAACGAACACCATTATCAAGAAAGAAAAATGTAACAATAAACAACAGTGATGAAAATAACAATGATGACAAAAAAGAACAGGGTGGCTGAGGGTGGGTGTGGATATATACCAATCTCTCACCTGTTAGGTCTTCTCTTTGATGTATATACATACGGCGCAAAGAATCAATAATGAAAACTAATCTTACCTTAGAAAGTCTTCAATCAGGATGTTTATTTTATGAAAAGAAAATAAACGAAAAATGAACGGGACAAACAATGATAATGGGTAGGGATGAAAAAGAGGAGATGGAAGAGGTGAGGGAAAACAAGTGATATGGACTAGGACAAAAGATGAACTGAATATGAAAAGATGAACTAGAGAGAAAACAAAATGAGAGAAAATATATAGGGGGAGAGAGAAAAGAGAGGAATGAGCAGAAGCTAGTGAGAAACTACGAAGACACTAAGAAAGGGAAGGGGTACATAGGAGTTTGATCACGAGCGTGATCAAATAAGTTGGCAGTAACTTAGCAATAACTGTTACTGCTAACATCACCCACACCCACCCACCCTCGAGATGCCAGAGAGAATCAATGGCGACCTCATTATTACAAGCATGAGACTGCTGACAAAATACTATTATTTGTCGAATTAGCAGGTTTTAATGAAGAATATCTACGCATTGATATTGAAAACAGGATAGTTATCATCAGGGGTACACGTGATGATTTCACAAAATCCTCGGACGTATTGCACCATGATCAATCAGACACTCCGATTGGTGGTTTTCAATTATCGGTTTCAGTAGATTTTGAAATTAATAGTACAGCTGCAAATGTTGATTATAATAACGTGTCCCAGAATAATGAACCTGGTGGGACGGTTCAGTGGAGCCAACGAAAACTGAGGCTTAGAAGAAATCTACAGACAAGCATCGTCTGAACTTGATCATACTAATCATGATTTCGTATTCACAAAAAAACTCTTTAACAAACTTTTTTTATATGGCGAAATAACTATGGCAGTTTGAACGAATTTCAATAAACGAAAGAGTGGAAAAATTAATTTTAATCACTCGTACAGCAAAATATATCATTGTGGGTGAGAGTGTGAGTGAGTGGAGTGGGCGTGTGTGTGGGTGTGCATGTGTCTATCTTTCTTTTCAGCACACACCCATACCCTCAAGATCGTTTTTCATAAATAATTTTGTACTTTCTTCATCGTTTTTGCATTCTGCGCTCTATGTAAAACCAAGTCAAAGATAGAGAAAGGAAGAAAATTTCTCCGCCTTAATGTAGGTCGATCTGACTCGCTTCCTTCATATTTTGTGAGCTAATTCGTAAGCAGCAATATATTGAGAAGAAGTATATTTTGTCTCCTTTTATATATAACTTGTTTTTATGTGGAACAGAACGCAAAAGAATGGAGAATAAAAAAACAGATTCAATGCATCGAGAGCTAAAAGAAAAGAACGTCATTGTGTTTCGTCGCTCGTAAACTCCTAAGTAAATTATGTTTACTATTTTGTCATGTATATTATCTGTGAAGCACATAGCATGGAAATAACTTAAAGAAATATATTTATCCATGTTCAATAAAAACAATAGGTATTATTTGTATCCTTCAGGGTGGGTGTAGGTGTGTATGATGAAACAGAAGGCACCTTCATACGCACACCCCCTTATCTACAAATAATCGGTCGATACAGCCTCTTCATAAAAAGGCCCTTCTTAGTTTGGAATAGTACACATTTGTATTTTTGATAAATCAGAAAACGTCTGTTTTATCAACAAAAAGAACTTGTTGACTCTTTGTTCAGTTCTCTCAAGGCTGGTGAAATAGAGCTTTTCACGTTCTCCAACCGTTCAAAATTTAACTTGCTTGACCTGATTTTTTTAATTTATTTCTATTTAAAATCAAGAATATTTCAGAAAAGTATTGTTTCTACTTGAGTTTCATTTATTTTAAACGCTTGTTTGTTTTTTCGTATTTGATCATGGATACAGAAGTATTCGACCGTTCATTGGAGGAGGACTTATAACGCTACTATCGGAAGAATCTCGTACTTGATTAAGTCGATTAAGTGTATCGTCAATCGATGTCGTACCTTGGATAGTATCCACGACTTTGACTTGACCTTCATTCCATATAAGACAACAGAGCAAGGGATAATCATCGGTGGCAAATGAACTGATTACATCCTTTATTTGCTGGCCACAATGCTTATTCAACATGACCAGGAGTCTACAAAAGAACGTTGAAGCATACAGTTAGACAATTAAAAGAATTCACTCAATTATTGAGAAATGCTATCTGCGCATCAAATCATACATACCCAGAAGAAACTGATAACAAATATCAAAACAACCCTAACTAGCACTTTGTCACTTGTTCTCACTTCTGAACTATTTCTTTTGTATTATATATTAGAAGTATTATTAAGGCCTCGTATTGAAGTAAGTTCAATAGCAGAAATCATCTCACTTACCCAGTGTAGTTTATATCACTTGTTCGATTCCATGGCCAAATGGTAAATTTTTCATCAAGGCAACTGGCGATTTTATCCGCACATAGCACTCTTTCGCAGAAGATATGTGTTGCTACGCTTCGATCATTGTGTATGTAGAGAATCAATGGACGCTGTTATAGAAGTAATTGAAATAAAATTCACATTTGATTCGTAAGAGAACAAAATGACTTACGCGATCGGGGCTTACCATAGATACTATAGCTTCATCCAATGGACGGCAATCGAATTCCAGTCTCAGAAATGGATACCGTTGAGATAAAACCTGTGTGAACCGTTCTTGAACAGTTCGCACATCATCTGCTGATGGATTTTCGCTATCGCTCAGATCTAACACTAGAAATTGTTTGTTCTCCAGGTGTATCTTGATATCAATTGCAACTTACTCTCGTTATAACCTTTGAATATTCTATTTGAATTAGCTTCATCGATGAAGTCGATTATGAAATCAGCGGTGGAAGATCCCGTTGTATCTTGTCTCTCCATTTCAGTCCAGATTGATCTTATTACGAATAGACGCACAAATACTTTCCATCTGAAGAAGAATGGGAAAGTATACAAAACGTTTCCGAGGTATGTTCAAATTTTCTCGAAAAAAATGGCATCTTCTGTAATTATTCATACGATACAACAGAATCATGGAAGAATTTTTCATCATCTTGAGGGTGTGGGTGGGTGCAAGTATAGAGATAGTAAAACACTCACATTCACCCTCAATATATATGAGAACTTTTACGTGTTTTCCTTTCTCTTATATATTTGATGGATATTGAAAACACGGTCTTGTATCGACGAGTTGAATTGGTATGGAATGTAAATATGTTGCCTTTTATATGAAATTATATAAATCTACACCTAGATGATACTAGTTGCCTCCAAAATATAATATTTGTCTATTCTTTCATTGAGAAGGAAAATAGTTAACTAACAAATAAATTTTTTTAATCTTACCTTGTAGGAGAAGATGTTGGAAACTGAGTTATGATCAAAATAACGTTTTTTTTCACATATATATATATGTATGTATATTAGAGAGTATTCTGGGAAAAAACCTAATGTTTCTTTCCCGAAAAAAAACTCATTATTTATTTCTCGGAAAAGGACTAACAAAAAAATAACTCTTTATTTCTTTCTCGGAAAAGAACTAACAAAACAATAACTCTTTATTTCTTTCTCGGAAAAAAAACAGTCTAGACATGGAAAAAATATAAATGATGACGACTTTTTTTATATTAATGTGATTCGAAACCATACTGAGAGTGTGGGTGTGACTAGGCATGGCTAGACTGTGATCGTGTGATGAATACCTCATCATGTATATTCTAAGAACAAAAAAAAATCAAATGAATATGAATGAAAAAACAACAACAAGAAGACGAACGCATATTAATGCAAAAACAGAAAGGAAGAAAGAATGTGTATATGATATAGAACAAAGAAGAGCACCAGATGAAATGTATAAAACATCCAAAATATAGGGAAGATAGTTTGGGATGTGTATGTATAAGAAAGGGGGAAAAGTGAGAGGAGTATGAATGCAAGCAGATGCATGAAAGAGGAAAGAGAGTATATCATGTCCGGTGGACATGACAGAGCACAGGTGAGAATGTCATATTAAGCGCATTTGCATCTATACTATCACTCACACCCACACCCTTGAATAGCAAAGCCGTCTAGAAAGATCTTTTTAGCAAACATGAAATATGTTATGGTTAGTAGTCCCATCTTCATTATGCTTCATCACATTCTTCTAGTTCTATTTCAATCATGATTCCATTGTTTTTCTTTTCGTCATATTTTCTAATACTAACGATTTCATATGCCGAAAATGGTAAAATTAATATTTCTTGTTCGTCGGGTATTTCTGATAAACATTCTAACTGTAATGCTGTTCGATGATTTTTGGTTTGATATCTACATAAGGTTGATAAATGTATAGGTGTATGTTCGGGTGTTTGTCTTAGAGAATCTGCTGCTCCTTCTCCAGCAAATATTTGTGCAATTTCTTTGCTTTTTGATGTAGATATGAACGATACATTCATTATTTGTGAGCCAACACTATATTGTTTCAAATTATCACGAGTCATAAGCATACCACGATAGCTTGTTAGAGTATCCAGACAGTAATACGAATCTAGTCCATTAGAATGAATTAATAATGCAATGAGATCAATAATACAATTAGATAGTGCATAATCTTGCGTTTTATTCAGTGTGGAATCAAAATAATGTAAAGCATAAGTTGCAAGATCTTTATTAAGTATTTTATGAAATATTGTTGCCGATGTATAAGCACTTAATACATATCTTAAATCATTTTCTTCTGCTGCCATCGTAAAATAACAGTTTAAAGATGATCGTAGTTTGGATTCCAATGGTATTTTTTGTAAATAATGTTTTTGAAATCTATTTAATATTCGTTGATAATCTAACGACAAATTTGCATCACCTAAAAATTGTTGTCGAAATAATCTTCGCTGTGTTTGTATTTCATCGTACATAATTGTCCATTCTAACATATTATCTTCGTTTCTGTCTGTAATGAAGTAATAATTATCATTATTTCGTAGGAAAAGTTGACGAATTTTTTCTGTTCGAGCTTCTTCGCACGCTGTCAAGTTAAGTTTATTCCTTATCGATCTCCATGCACCATGAGTTAATAATAATTTCACTATTTCATGATGACCGTAGTAAGCAGCTACATGTAACGGTGTGCTACCGTTTGACTGTTGTTTGTTTATATGTCTGATTGCTAATTTACTAATATAACTTTGAATTTTTTCCAATTCATTATTTTTACAATCTGTATATAAATCATGGAAACAGTCTTCCACAATATTATCATCATGTGAAAGCAACAATTGATTATCGTATTCAACAGTAATGTTATTGTCATAATCTTTGATGCGATGTATCAATTGTGCAATCATTTCTTCATCTTCAAAATAAATAATGGATAATGAACCAACAATAAAATAAAGCCAATCTTCTAAAATTGTGTACTTATACTGCACAATAACAGGTATAAGTATTAGTTGTTTTTTATGAACATATGTTAGAATAGCCTTGCAAAAATTACTACGAACACATTTTTCACTCAAACATATAATAAAATGTCTAATATTTCCTATGGCCTCCATAGTATCTATCATTACATTTCTTGTTCCTGCATGACCTTTTCCAGATAATTCATTTAACAATGGACGTATACCATATCCACGTAGTTTCTTTGTTAATATATCAACTTGATCGAAATCACTCGCATGATAATTGATCATCACATTAAAATTAGTGATTGAAATACAGTTCTTAACTCTTTCTTCATACCGATGTTCCTTATTATATTGTTTTCGTAATCTTGTAAGGCCTTGATGATCACCTAAATTCCATAGAATTCCCCATACTGCTTGGTCAATATAAAAACTGTTTGGATTATGATTTGATTGGCATTCATTCCTTAACGATAATAAAAATGAAGTGTTCTTTATTGATAATTTGACTGAAGGATGAAATGATAAGGTCCAAATAATTTCATATTTTTCAGTAGAATAAAGCTTATTTTCAAGTTCAATAAATAACTCAAGTTTGTTCAATTTTATAATTTCTTGTTGAATAATATCATTTGCTAATAAGTTGAGAAAATCGGACAAATATGTTTTCATATTTTCTTGTTCGATATCATCTTTACGTTGTTTCAAACGAGTTAAAGTTGTTTCAATTCGTGTAAAGTACAGAAATGCGAGTTGATTCGCTATATTTAATTCATATATTAACGTATCATGTAATACGATTGACAATAGTGTGAATAAGTGACTTTGTAATGATTCATACAAATTTTTTCTTAATATTAATAAATAAATTGTATTTATCGAATTAGTTGTGCGTAAAAGGTGCAGAACTACACATCTTATCTGATCAGGACATGTGATTAACGTTAAGAGATATGTGATGATCATGTCTATGATAATAGTTTCATCATTTGACCATGTAAATAATAATTTCTCTTGAATACATTTATTATTCAAAATAATTATTATCGATGTTATATATTCATCATCATTATCAAAGTGTATATTAGTTCTCCATGCTGGTGGCTTATCTATTGTACGACAATCAGAATATATATATTCATAATATTGTGTTATCAATGAAACAGAACTTTTCATACAGTTTAGAATGTTCGATTGCCATTCGTCAGTAATTGAACGAACATGGAAAATCACAAATTTCCTGCTGTAGTAAAGTAATGGTTCAACAATATCTAGCCAGTTTCTTAAATCTGAAATAAATGCATAATAAAAAGAGCATGAACTAATATAAAATTGTTCAATTGATTTCATTTCCATATAAGTAGAGCAATGCTTTTCTGTATATTGTTGGTAGATTGGATTCATAATAATCGTTGTAATTATTTGTGTTAGTGGATCTTGTTGATCTTTCAAATTTCGAATTCTCATGCGTAAAAAATAATGAAGATGTGATATTGTATCAAGCCATAGAGAAATAACATTGAGCATGGGTAAATTGTATTGAACAGAAGAACTATCAACATGCAACTTTTCTATTATCGATTCGAAAATTTTCATGAAACTTTTTTTAAGTATTAATGGTGCTATTACATATTGAATCATACAATAACATTTTCGGTCATGTTCATCAATATCTAAATCAACCATCGTTCTATTTAACTGTCCAAGATTTTCTAAAAATTTGAATTCTTTTTCATTGATTTGCTGTTGCAGGTTGAATTGATTCCAAATGATCCATGCAAAATTTTCGATTGTTAGGAGTATATTTTCCGTTCTTTTTCTTAATATCAATAAAATTTTATCCATTGGAAGTTGTAAACATTCAATTACAAAGGTATTTAATTTGTCGAGAGTATCAGTATCTATTGGTCGAACAATTTCTTTCGTCTGTTGGAATACATCAAAAGTTGGTAAATTATTGATGTCCAATAATTCGATGAGTTTTTTATTCGTTTCATCCATTTAGCATTATTTTTCCATAACACTACCTCGATTATATAATATGATTGATAAAATAATTCTGTTTTTTATTGAAGTTTAATGTCTTTTCAAATCTAAAAACAAATTTTAATGTCTTACACGATTCAAGCTCTGTGAGGCTAGAATATAACGCTCATACAAGAATGCGACGTAAAGCTTAGAATCAAAATGCACTAGGAATGCAAGAAAACTACCTAAAGAATACGAAAAGTAGAGACGTCTACATCTCAGTTTCGAAAACTCTACCCAAAATTCACTTTTTTTAAAGCGAAGTGAGACGAAGACCATAAAAATAAAAATAAATTAAAAAAATACTCATATACATTATATTACGTAAGCAGAAAATCTTCCAAGAGATTGCCACATGATGAAAAGCCTTATCCGCACAATCCCATAACATAAAATGATTTTAACCAAGTTGCCTCATTCCGTGCCATTTGAATAGATTGTAAAACTGATTACCAAGGAAAGAAAGAAAGAAAAAAAACGATATTTTTACCAGTTACAAAATGCTTTCCTTTTCTCGAATCACTTATTCACAAAAAAACACATTTTTGTTCTTTCTCTTGGAAGAATGAATAAAATAATTCGTTCTTTTCATTTTTATAAGAGATTCAATCTTAACACAAGAGAAAACAGAAAAAAATAACCTACTGATTTTAATACATTTTGGTAAACGAAAATCTTGAGGTATTGATATCGGTGTGAGGATGTGGTTTATGAGTGAAACTATAGCATGCGCCCACTGTTCGATCTATACCAGTTGATTCTTACGAAATACGAATAAAGTGTATGATTTCTATTTTATAATTCGTTTTTATCATTCTCGGTTATTAATTACTGCAATTGATGATGAGTCTGTAGACTCGAAAGCTATTGTTTTAATTTATATTAATAATTATCGTAGAACCACATAACTATCTATTTTTGTTCAGTTGATTCTTACTCTCATTTACACTGGCAGTTTTATAACAGCATACCCAAAAATTTTCAAAGTACTGTAACGAATGAATACATCTATAAATATCATCCGGGTTCAAACAATGCACAAATCATTTGTTTCTACTAAAATGAAAAACCTTAACCTAAAAATGATACTTTAGAAAGTATGACAGATAAATTTAATCATGTTCAACGTGTTTCCTTACTGCCTCCTGATACAAACATGCAGAATTTTCTGACACACTCACTATTCGTCGCCGAAAAAACAAATTTATTCGACATGCATCATTGAAAAATATGACTAAACCATTTTTATTAAATAAAAATAATGAACTGTATTTAACACTGTATATAACAAATGTTAATATTTATGAAAAAACAAATGAGCATACAACAAAGTATCGATTAAGAATGAGTGTGGGTGGGAGAGAATGAATTCCATACGCGCACTCACACCCTAGAGGTATTATACACTGATTATTTTATTGAAACGAAATAATATGAGAACATAAAAATAATGTAACAAATCACAAACAGGTTATTTAACAAGTTTCATGCTGTGTTGGTAATCGAAACAGAGTACCCAAATTGCTTGTTAAAAAGCTTTTAATTAAAAGTAAGTACTGAATATATGACAATTCAGGATTCGATATAACTCTAAACAATATTGGTACTCTAGTTTGACGAGCCGATGTTATCTGGTATCTATCATACATCTCTTTTCTTTTAATAACAATTAATTTTGCCTTTAAATATAAGTTTCCGATAGTGGATGATGATTTATAATATGATTGATCAGATTTCATCATAAATGTCGGAAACGACTTGCAAAACTGATCTTTCAATTCATACACCCTGTTCATATCGATAGTTTCACCTGTTTTAGGCGAATCAATGGCACGATAAAATAATGTTGCTAGTTCGACGCATTCTTTCGACATCGTACCTTTTTCTATTCTATCAGCGACTACTGTGTGCACGTCAGCTATGATTGAGTAATAATTTCGTTCAATTGTATCCAAGACATAATCAATCACCATTTCATTTGTGATCTCTGAAACAGTCAGTTTTGTTGCTGATGAATGATTCAATGGTTCAATAGGTTTATCAATATTCAAATCTTTTCCCCAATAGACCCAATATTGATCACCATCGAGATCAGATCCACTTATTTGATCACTATGAGGACGAGATCCAGTGGTAGGAAACACGATACAGTCACGCATACAATGTCTCAATAATTTTACATCAACTGCTTCAAGTTTACGAATGTCTCCTGGATATAAACAGGGATTTTTTGTTACCAGTACCGTTCCTAAGTATAAGTCGAAATAATAAGACAAACAAAAATGAAAGAAGTATTTACCTTTTACAACTTTATAAGTTATTTTTTCTTTTACTTTCACTTGGTATTGTATAAAGCATTGACCATACTTTAGCTGACCGGTGACATCAGCAACTCCAAACATATTTCGTGCCTCATCGATCGGCAATGGGATTTTATTACGTAACAAATTTTCTTTCCTATATACAAATAGAAGAAATCAAATACTTTGAACCAATGATACAAAACAATAGGATAGCTATTCTTACACATTTAAATAACGTAATTGTTGATCATTAATTAATTCACTATCAAACACATTCAAATAGGTATCTTCTGGTGGATGCCACAGAACTGGTTTCGACATACGATTCTGTAGTGATTCAAATATCTCAAGTTTATTTCCGAGATCACTCAGTAAACGTATAATCTGATTATTTAAACTTAAAGGCACTAGAAAAGAGAAACAAAATCGAATTTTTTTGAGTTATACTATTGAGAAATATGAACTTTACTTGGTCGAGAATAATCACATATATGTAATGTCCAATCGTCACTTTCGAATTTAACCATACTATCTCGAACTTTAATGTAATAATCATCATGTGCTGACTCCGGATCAATCATTAGTATTCCTTTACACCCAGCCATACGTATTTGAAATACCGATGGTATATCACTCTAAATAAAACAAAAAATACTTTTCTTAGTGACAGAAATTTTTATTTCAATTTTTTCTATACAAGTTGTTTTATTTGTAAACCAATTTTTTCTGAAACTTCTTGAGCCAATCCTAACGATATCAAACCACACCCATCCGTGAAACAAAACCCATTGTATTTAATGTCTATAATTCTAAATACGACATATTTCTGTTGAAATGTACATGTATTGGTCTAAAATGAAATAGAACAGTCACTTGTATATCACACAATTTCAAATAATTTATTTACTGATTTTTTGAACCACGATCGAGGTTGCATCCATGACCAGTTAGATAATGATGACGATGCAGGAGAGCCAGCGCCTGGTATATTGATAATATTTGAATTTAAATTAATGTAATTTAAAGGTATCTAAAATTAAACAATATCCTAGTTTACATGATTAATCGAATATTTTCGTGTCACTCACACCAGTGGCAGATGACGTCGAAAAATATAGACCAACTCGAGCGACATATGTGGCCAAATTTTTAATTGCAGTAAAATCACCGAATTGTGCCCGTACTTGGTCAATAGTTTCCCCATCGTTCAATGCTGAGAACCAATAAGAGAATTTTTTCATTTGACTTGTCGATGCACCAACGAAATAATAGCGTTTATTCATACACATGATACCATCGGTAAACATTTTTCGCTTGAAGCGTAATCGAATTTCAGCGGTAAGTGTATCCAAATTTTCATTATTTTCTTCTCGAATACAAACTCGTATGTACTTTTCAGTACCTCGTATACGTAAGGCTCGGTTACTACGTTCTCGAATCAGTGGATTGAATGTTACATGCATTGGAGTAAGAGTAATATGCCGAATAAGAACGTTTTGATCATCCATAAATGTCATATCAATGCTCATATTATTGCTCGTATTTGTATTTGGTGTGTGTAGTCTAATTAAATCATCGAAGTCAAGACACTGGTTTTCTTTTAAAGCCTTGTAAATACGCGAACAAACATTGTGAAATTCATTAGTAAAATCTCTTTCGATTTTTATAAATGATTTTCGAGCAGCTTGTGATTTCATATATTTATCAGTAAAGATATAGCCGAGCGAATATAACATTTCAATAGAATACTGACTTTTAAATGAATTGAAACAGGGTCTTTCAATAGCATTCATATTCGGCCAATCTTCTGTCGTAAATAAAGCAAAGTTTATATGAAAATTCCCATCTTGTCGTTTATTATTATCAGTATGACCAACGATGGGTAGAGAAAGTAAGAATGGCCATGCATTTGCAGGAGGATCAAATTGAAGGAATAATGCACTACTTTTGGATATAATATCGGTAAATGAATTTGGAATTTCGTCGTTACCAATTCTAAAACAGAATATTATTGATTTACTTTCAGCGTTCACTCTAAAACTTTGTAACTATAATCAGGATCTTACCTGGTACAACTATTAATGTTAGTTTCATTTTCTTCAATTTTCACAGCACTATTCAACATAAGAATTATTTGTATAGGCTGACCATCATGACCTCTATTAACCAACAATGTTTTCTGAATATAACGAATTGGAATAGTAATTGTTTTATTCAATGAATGCATTTTAAGAATTAATGAAGCTGCTCGAGATCTTTCAAACCAAACTTTGATAGAACCTGTGCAATTAAATTCACTCGTGTGGTTATAAAATAGCTTCGTCGAATATAATGAGCCAAAGCTGAACAAAACTTTTGCTGGCTGATGCCGTACTGATTTTTTATCCGACAATAAATGTTCCTGCAACTTGTGCAACGGTAATGTATTAATTGTGAACCAAACAGTTGTATAACTTGATGTTAGAATTAGATGAAGATTATCCCTAATTGAAATTGCGAGATCACGTGTACATTCAAACGAATATTCTTCATTGCTGGGTTCTTTTAAGAGCGAGTCAAAGTTTGTCGATTTAAAATAATAAATCAAGTTTTTGTAAATGATTTCACGAGCATTAGGTTGAAGGTTTTTAAAGGAACATGGCACTTTTTTATCCCAACCATCTGCCTCCGGTTGAATTACAATTCTAAACAAGTGTTATATTAGTCAAAGTGTTGAAAAAGTCGATAATCAAGAGTCTGTTTCATTGGGAAATATGTATATTACAATTAAAAATACTAATTACAACTATATATAATAGCTTGTGAAGCAAAAATACCCAGTGGAAACTCGACATTACTCACCTTTCTGCATCCATGAGTGATGTATACTGCGTATTAAAGAAAGTGAAGCATTACAAAATGCAGTTGAATTTATTATAACACCATCTATCACTATGTTGTTGAGAAAGTTATAACTGGTTAAGATGTTAACCAATCAGCACACTCCACGTAAAGAAGTATTTGCATGGGGAACAAACGTATTAGTATGGTGAGTAACAAAAACTGTAAGCAAATGCGGGGTGTGGATGTAAAATGAATAACAGACTATCCCATCCTCACTCTGGTTTTCTATAAAACTTTATTGATAAGAAGTTTAAAAGTATTTATAGTTGTTCACATATTTTGAAAAATAGTGTCATTTGTGAACACTATGATAAATTCATAATTATTCTTCCCGTGTCACTTGTGTGGGAATTGTTGATAAAGACGGATGAGATTGTGGTACACTTAAATTTTCCATTTTCCAGTGTTCAATATGTGCTAATATATGTTTTCTTTCGTATACCACACAACAAATTTGCAAAGTAGCACATATTATAATAATTATAATGAATGAAATCTTTCCGTAGAGAAAAACTTCATTTACTGTGAAGTGTGATGCAATAAGAATATATCGAACAATACATTCAATGCAAAAGCCCACTGCCCAAACACCTGTCATAAGATAACACGAGATACGATACGATGAGCAATGATCATAGATCCATGCGTAGACTTGAGCTACTTCTTTTGAGTCCGGTACATCTTGTTTCCTATTCCCATCTTTGAGTTGTGTGTATTGATTATCGTCAAACATGCTGTCTGATAGACCGAATTCTGCTCGACTTACTGGTACTAAATCATGATAAAAATAATAGACAATTGGACGCCATCGATATTGCCCCAGACCACATCGAAATGGAATTAATGTAATACCAAATATTATAGCTAGTGCACCGGTAATCAGTGATTTTTCTAACAATAGAATTTTAGGATTATCTAACGCTAATGCTAAGATGGCCGCAAAAATAAAAGTAATACAGACAATAAAACCGATAGAATCAAAGTTGCGTTTCCATACGGCTTTGAAGACGACCATCAAGAAAGGAGGAATACCAGCGGCCAAGAGAGCGTAGACAGGTTTGATATTACTTGTAAGAGAAAAATATATTATAAGCGGTAGAATCAGATCAACTACAATAATAATAATGAGACGAGGAATATGATGTTTAAATGTGTTCCATGTTACAAGGTGAAACTGTGATGGCAATTGCCGTTGTTGAAGAGGTTCAGATGGAGTAGATTCATAGTTCGAAGCCATTGGATATTTATTTGAATGCCTATATAAAATATGTTCACTATAAAATCAATTTCGAGTTGAATATATGAGTCTTTCTTATCGATAGGAGTGTTAGAGCTTCCATTCCTTAGATTCTTATGACTCTGTTACATATCAATCCAAAAGCTATTGAAAGTAGAAGAGGCTTTTATGAGTTTTAAGACTAAAAAAAGAAAAAAACGATATCTTATAAACTTCGATCAAAGTTTTTCAGAATGGTTTATTGAATTATGGATCTGAGAATTCTATTAGAATAAGGATAATTTTTAGCACTTATGATCTATATTTAAATACTATATAGGCAGAACTATAACCACTATCGGTATTAATATTGTGTTGAGTTACTCCAATAAGCCAAATTGCTACTTTTGTCTAACACAAAAATTCTGATAAAACATGTTTACAGATATTTATGCTTAATTTTAATATGTTTTACGGCTAAAAAAATGTTTTTCTTACAATTTTATTTGATTCGGTTTGTCTTCAAGATTGACGATCGACGCTTTTATTGTCTGCTTCACTGTTTCTTCTTTCTTCAGCTAAGGTAGTCACTGATGAAAATCATTGAGGCATGCAGTCATTATATATCGCGTTGTGTATTAATATTGGTTATACGAAATTTTTTCTTTCTGTCAACATAAAGCTAATAGCAGCTGTCACATGGAGAATGCATTTAAACTTTGCTCTGATAGATATTTTTCTCACAATCATATTCTTGCTCATAACAAGTTTCTGATAAAATAGAAAACAATTAAACAGTATGTAAGATTTAATATAAAAAAAATCGAACAGATATATGTAAATGCATCAACAAGCAAAAATACAAAAAAAAGAAATATTTGTGTTCAGTTTATTAAGTGTAATACACAAAACACGAATATCTGTAAAGAGTTACATGAAGATTATTTTAATTTAAAAGAAAAATAATTTTCTATACAATTATTGACACTATATTTTTAGTTTTATATTTTTTAAAATATAATCAGATCTTTCCTACCTATAGCCACAGCTACATCCGTGCCTTCAAGATATAAAAGATATGATGTTCTCCAATAGGTGATAAATTGGTCAAACCCGACTTTCTATTTTGGGTATTGTGGGCCGTGTTATAACATGTTGTACTCTTATTCTCCTTCGATTTCTCCAGCAAAATTTTTGTTGAAGATCAGGAATGAGTCCCAAACAGACATAAGGTAAAACAGTAGGCATTACTACAGAAATAAAATTTAGTAAGATAGCCTGAATGTTATCATTGATTGGAGTGACATTGAATAGAAGAGTGGAGATAGGATTGATAGTATAAGGAAAGTTCGTACCAAAATATAAAGTTGAAATGCTGACTAATTGAATAGTCATCTTTCGATACTTCCTCCAATTCGGCGCCTGATGTAGGCGTCGTTTTTGAATGATAACTCGAAGAGCCAGAGCAAGACTGAATAGAGCAATGAGAATAATCGGAATAGCTTCGTGAACAAGAGATTCATATGCGACGATAACTGTTGAAAAATAAAAACATGCATAACCACAATAAGCAGATGTATAATCAAAGGAATTTTGACAAGGAAAGAATAACATGGCATAGACAAAGAAAGCAAATGTATAAGTTATGATGAGAAAAAGTGGTAAATAATGAATCAACAAACGTTGTCGGTTAGTCAAAAGCCAATTACGATGAAAAATAAGAATATGACCTACAAGAAAGATAGACATATGTATAGTTCATCGACATTTAAACACATCACTCACGTTCTATCGATGCCCAACACATCAATAAAATCCCTGTATCATAAGTATAAGCGTCAACAAAAAGCCACAAAAGACACAATGATGGTGTCGATGGACTAACGCGACCTGTTCGAAGATAATTGAGTAGGAGTGATTGATCGATTGTCACTTGAATAAAGTTGACGAAAAGAATAACAAAAATGGCATGATTGGAAAGTTCTTTTTGTAATGTTTTGTTGTACAAAAAATGTAGAATAATAAATAAATATACTGGGATGGACATGAGCTGACCTGTTTGAAATATTCCGTAGAGAAGAATATTTGAATTCGAAGAAGTTTCTTCAGATGAAGACACAGTATTATTTGAAGACATCTATTCAGATTATTAATAATATCTCTGCAGAAACGGATGAATCTCGATGAAAGAAAATATATAAAACTCAATGATAAAAGTTCATATATATTTGGAGTGTTGTTTTAAAGCTTTTTTCTGTTCTGATTAACATTTTAAATTATTTATAGCATGAAAGGAATTGTTTCATGCAAAAATAGTCCTGATGAGCTATGCTTAATTAGATTCTTCAATAAAAAGTGAAGAGCATAGTTAAAATAAAATCATTAGAAGAGAAGAGAGAAATGTCTTGAAATAGCATTAGATATAAAATATCGAAAAAATGACCTATAATATTTTAGTCATGCACTTGTATAACTTAGGGCATGTTTCTTGTGTCTTAACTGAAGTCTGCATTGATGTGGGTTCGAAATGTATTCGAGTTTTGTTCTTGAAATGAATCAAAATTCTCTAAATACATTTATATAAACAAATGTGCTACGCAAATGCGTTTGTATCTATTTTAAGCTCGAGAAAAAGAATTATTTCCATTTTAATAAGTTCATCAATGTTTTTCTTCCAGAAGAAATTTTATATTAAAAGAAATAAATAACTGAAAATATTGTATTTAAACGAAAAGATTTTCTTTTGTTTCTCGTTTGTGTTGTTCGCTGAAAGCAACACAAGTTCAAAAAACAGTTTAATAAACTTTCTAATCCACACAAAGTCACTTTTTGTGCACAATGATTGAACTAAATCATCAAAATGGAAAACATACATCTAAAAAATGAGGTGTTAGATAATAGCGAAATGTCTAATTAATAAATATTGCTTACTGCATTAACAATGTTTTGATATCTATTGCTATTTTGTTATGATATAGATTAGAAAATCGAGGAATATCGTTACTCATAATCTAATTGAGGTAGATGTATTTTAAAAAATTCAAAATGATCGTGAATAATTTTTCCGAATTTCTGAGGTTCAATGGTTGATAATGCTGTTTCTCATATAGTGTAAGTTTACATTATTTTTATTTTTAACAACACTTTGAAAAGTATGGCAATTATTTTTCCAAAAATAGAATACTTGTACTTCTCATAAATACTCTAAATTGATCCTTTCGTGATCGAATAAACAGTTGTTTTATAGCTATTGTTCTTGATTAGACTTTTCAAGACAAAAGATGTCAATATGTATAGTGTTTCACGATCAAGTACGCTGTTACAAGTCGTGACGAATTATAGTTCTGCCGACCTTGCACTAGACGACCAACTGGCACAAAGAATAATTCATTCAATATCTTTTCTAAACTGTTAGAAAGTAAGTTTGTTTCAGCGCGTGCATACTTTTTAAAATCACAATTATTAAAATTGGATGGGTCTGGGTGTATCTTGTTCATACCCACACCCATCCGACACGTACAACCATGCCCACCCTCAAAAGAATACGGTGATGATCTATAGTTTTATTTGTATGTTTATTTTCAAAATAGAAAGCGAATTTGGTACATATACATTAAGCACTGATTAGAATAAAAGGATTCATGAATTGAAAAAAAATGTTTTGAGAGAAATGGTATGATATTAACATATGTTGAGAGAAATATCGATAGTTCCACTGCTATAGCCGGCAGCGGCTACATCGAGTCGATCATCACGATTGAAATCACCAACAGTAAGAGTGTCCGGTCCGCTACCAGTGGGAAAAGTCATTTGTGTTCCAAAAGTTCCATTACCATGCCCCAAAAATATACTGAAAGTATTATTATCTCTGTTAGCGATAACAAGATCCAAGTAGCTGTCATTATTGATATCATCGATAGCTATGAATTCCGGACACGATGGAGTCGAATAAGTCATCTGTTCACTAAAACTGCCATCACCAAATCCGTGTAAGACGTACACGTTGTCAGTTACACAGCTAGCAATTGCGAGATCCATCTTTTGATCGCCGTTGAAATCTCCGGCAGCAATTGCGGATGGGGCAGTACCGGTTGACGAGGAAATTGGTGTTCGAAAAGTTCCATTCCCGTATCCGAGAAAAACATTCACAACATTATCCCCGATCGAAGTTACAGCAACATCAATATGGTTATCACCGTTAAAATCATCGACAGCTAGTCCAAATGAATGCGCTTTAGTCTCCAAAGGCATTTCCAATGTAAAGCTTCCGTTGCCATAGCTTAGGAACACGTTACAAACGGAAGTAGCTAATACGATGATATCCATATAGTTATCACCATTGATATGAGCGGCAGCCACTCCATATGAAACACCGCTAATTGGAAAACTTATCGGCGGTGCGAAACTTCCATTGCCATAACCATGTAGTATACTTATGCACTTATCAGAGCTGCCGGTGATAATATCTAGGTGTTTATCGTTATTGATATCAGCGACAATCATCCGATTCAGATAATAATCAATTGAAAACTTCATTGTTGTTCTGAAATTTCCACTTCCGTAACCAACTAATACAAAAACAATTCCACCAACATCTGTACTAGCAATGATATCCATTCTATTGTCCTCGTTGAAATCGCCACTGACAACCAACTTCAGTCTCTCTGCCAACTTATATGGAATATATGGAACGAATCCAGAGACTACAACGATTTAAAGTATTAATATTTTTATGACATAAAAGTCAAAATCTTCTTATGTACTTAACTGATGAGACAGGTATGCGACATTTTTGATTGTATCACAATATTTCTGTAAGTTTCTTTTGTTATTAATAAACTCATCGCGAGAGGTTCTGACAACGAGGATGAACAATTATTAAATATTTTTCTTCACTCAAAACTAACTGGAGCATGTCTATTTCATCATAAAGCATATCACCCCCCAAAATAAGTAGAGTATGTGAAAAACTGTAGTTCAGTTAGTTCTGAAACTTTTCATGATGCTCATTTATCAAAAGGTGGCAGATCCAAGTCTGGTCTATATAAGAATAAACGTCTTCCTTGAACAATGATACACTGATTTTGAATGCGATATGAAGTCTAACACTCATATGTCTGCTAAAATGCGTATTCTAGCTACTTTTGTTGAGAGAGAAAACAAAACAGTCTCTAACTCCATTTCAACTATGGAATTTAAATGATAAATAAAAGACACTTACGTTCTGACATCGTGCATGAAATGGTACTTGCTGTCGGTGATATCGTTGTTGTCATTTCTAGATATTCATCTAAAATTTCATATCGTATCAATTATTATTAAAAGGTTGGGTGTGGGTGTGAATTAAGAGAAGATGGATATACGCACACTCATACCCTCAACAAGAAATATATCGACAAAGTGATATAATCATGGAAGTATTAGAGCAGTTAAACGGTACTCAACGATAAAAAAATTCACTTTTCTCGATGTTCCCTCTACAATACTGATCCTTTTGCTAGTACTGTGCGAGTTCCAGTGACACATACCAGATAAAGTTGTTATTTTGTTACATGATGATGATAAATCGTAATGAGCAAACACAATAGGTAATGTAATGACTATAGTCACGATACCTCCGCCAAGAAAACTTCCCAAAATGATCAATAGGATTTTTGTTGTCAAGAAGCGTCGTCTTAAATCAAAGGATCATATATTCAAATTCAATATTAAGAATAGTTAGATACTAACATTCGGCCCATTGTTGACAATGTTGATGTGGTACTGATTGTGTCCAGATTTTCGTTTGATGGATGTACAACGGCCTTTATATTAGATATGATTAGAAAGATCAACATTTATTACAGCACAAAGTGTATAGCTATTTAAATCAAAGAATGACTCGCATCTACTATGTACCAGGTCTTAAAATCGGGTCACTTTTTGCCGGCTCGGCCCGCCCGGTGTCTTAGTGAGGCACGGACCAGGCCACGTTGGGTTCAGCCGAGCCATTGAATCGGACGACCCATTTCAAGGCTTGTTATCTACTGAGTTGTCATCACATGAATATAGGATAATTGAAATAGTTCATGATCAATACACGCAAGAAACTTTTATATTCACTCTTTTCGAAAATTTTGCATAGATAATCACTAACATTCTTTTTATCTTCTTCAATTAACAAATGAAGAATAATCCAGCAGAGAAATAGAGTTAAACTAGTCCCCGATAGAATAACATCTATCCTGGTGAATTATGCCAGTATTATTATTATTTACTTACTGACATGGTATCGTTGATTATTGATATTGAATAAGTAGAACTTCGAAATAAACAGAATGAAATTAGACGTTTTTATTCAGATTCACATAAAGAAAAATGTATAATTACAATAGTAAATCTTGACTAAAGTAAGAAATGCGTTTAGCAAAAATTAACGGGTATGGTAGAAAATAAAGTATGATTTTATTCAGTTTTATTCATTATCATGCTCTTTTATCTTTTGACGTAGCATACGTCAGAAAAAAAAGAGGATGTGTATAAAGCACGGAAGTAAATGTATAATGAGTAAATGAAAAATGGAAGCATGATATAGAAAAAAAAATGAAAGGAAACTAGTGGGTGAATGCAAAATATTATCAATAAAAAAAAAGTGAATGATATCGCTTCCAACATTAATTTCTCTTCAGCTTAGAAAAAGTCAATTAAGTTTTATAGAACATTATTATTTAGATTTTTCATATCTACATTGTATAATGTTGTTCTCAAGTATTCGTTAGTTCGACTAGTTCTGTGAAGGATTATAAATTGTATCAAAGAAAAGAAAAACAATGTTTTTATTATGTGATTCATCAAATTCATGAAAATGACGTAAATCAAAGATAAATTTATCAGTAAATATCAGATTAAAATGATTAAGCGGAATAAAAGAAATTATATTGTATTGTGCAACAATGGTATTAATTTCGTATGTTGGTAACTGATTCAGTCAGATGACTTTATGTTTTTACAAGGAAAATAATTCTGTACTGGAGCCATTTCTGATGCAACGAATTAATCAATAGCTAATTACTCTTTATTATCTATTAGATATATGAAAACTTGGTCTGTATTAAATATCATTCATATATGATTGAAAAGACAGATTTGTATTAGATCATCATGGTTCTATCTTCGATTATTAGAAGGAATTATTTTCATGAATTAATACACACTTTTATCACTTCGTAAAAACTATATTCTTTTTTTATGTTTCATAGAAAAATGTTATAAAGAAAAGTTGATTTGAAAAATAAAAATATCATGTCATATGGGCAGTAATTTTATGTTATATTTTCATTTAAAGTATAGCAAAAACAATGTTTTGCGCATTTCCGATCCGTTTTATTTTTTTATCCAACATATTTACTTCCTTTCCTCATTTTTATTTTATATTCATTATCAGAATGTTTATGACGTAGATGTTCATTTTCTCTGTCTATAGTGGAAGAAAAAAGGTTGTTCGTCGACAAATAAAAACTTTAGTTCTTATATAACTATATTGATTTCAAAAAAATAGTAAGTTATCGATGATTCTTTGAATGCATAGTGTTTATGTCGGTATTGGATATAAGTAAAAATAAGTTTGCTTGTGATCAAAAAAACAAGACGTCGAAATAGGTTTACACATTTTAAAGAGGGAACCATCCAAAATGATTAAGAACTTTTTAGCTGACATTTTGCCCTTGAGCCAAATCTGATAAGACTAGATAAAGCCTAGAAGGATAAGCTCCCATACGTGTTTGTTCGCAACTTAAAGCTATTTTAGTACGCTTTTCACCTATGGCAGAAGGCTCACCCAAAAATCAAATTGTACAGTTACGATCTAAAACTTTGTCCTCATGCATGTCCCATGACCCTTACAGTATCGTAAAAATTTCAGCCAAAATGAACGCTTCCATCACGAAATATCCAGCTGTCAAGTAAACTCTCTCATGCTGCAGATATGACAAGAAAATCGACTTTTCGTGATACTTATTATTTCTTGACAGAAACGTCCATTTGAGCTGAAACTTTTAGAGTATTATAAGGATCATAAGACATGCATGTGGGTGAAGTTTCATATGGAAACTCTACAGTTTACTTTTTCAGTGAACCTTTTGTCATAGGTGAAAAGCGTGCTAAAATGATCATATGTAAGAATGTACCGAGTCCGAGCCCTAATCGAGACGCTCGGGCTCGAGTGTGAGTGTGATGACTGCGGGTACTATCCTTTTCACTCTCTTTCTCACTTTTATCTACACTCTTACCCACACCCACACCCTCAATAAAAGTATGATTGCATCATTTTCAAAAATGTTTTGGAAAGTATAATAATTTTCACACATGAATTTCTATATAGATTGCATAGCAGACCTCAAAATCTTCATTCACTAACATTCATCTGTAAGTGCAAAATTTTTCCCTATCTGCCTACACAATTTCCTAACTGGGTTAAGTCATCGTTTTAGAAAGTAAAAAAAATCAAGCAGGCGCTATTTCTTCTCGTGTCAGTGCAACGATGCGGCTTGTTCAATGGTTAGTTAAGCTCAATTTATTTGAAACGAACGACGCAGATGATCAAAGTTTACAGATTCAGCGTTGGTCTACTCGTCTTTATCTTATTGCTCTCCTAGTTCCTTTGTTAATTCTCGGTATCTACAGCGTCATCGAAGGTGTTCCTCATTATATGGAAATACAAAATCCTACTCTCAGTTTGTACAAAAATTTGCAAGGGAAATATTCACCAAAATGTCCTTGTTCAAACGTTTCTATTCCCTATGAAGCGATTGTTCAATTCGCTCCTCAACATCATCAAGTTTGTTCAAGTGATTTTATCACACAGCGATGGATCGATTATCTGTACGATCCAGAAAAAACACATTTGTACATTCCCGAAGATTTTCGTGCGACTGCCAGTCAACAATTTCAACTGCTTCGTATCTTCTGTGAACTAAGTGTTGAAGCGACTACCGACAGTCTTGCTTCATTTAAGGACATGAAACTTATTACCACTCAACTCCTGAGCGAGAATGATTTTCATGCACAAATGCAGGCGAGTATTGATGCTTTCAAAACAGATACATACAATAAATTTAACCACACAATCATGTTTGTTCACGAAATCTTCTTCAGTAACACTCTTCTACCAGTAACTCGAAGTTTTTTCCCCTTTGAACTCTACAACGGTAATGGACCTTGGTCTACTCAAATGGGTATGGGCTATTTCTGTCATATAAATGATAAATTGTGCTATTGTACTGCCGACCCATACTGCAAGGCTCATGCAGGCTTTTTCGGTGATAAACTTGATAACAGCAGTAAGTGCAACATATATGCATTTCTAGATGTCGTGGATGAATGGTATATTGGCTGCCTGCCTATTAATTCTCTTCGCTATTCGAAACTTAAAACCTTCTACAACCAAACAGCGATCGATTCATTGTCGCTCTTCTTTAGAAACTCAACAGGCAATTTTACATGCTTGAATGCTAATCTTCCAACCATCTTTCCTCCAGAAAATACCACTCTCGATACTATTATCAAACGGAGTTTTATCGAAGAGTGGAACAACAACACAAGCTATGAATCGTATTTCAACACGTGTGCACCAAAGTCATGTGCTTATACAATTAACGAGCGTATTTTGCGCGGCATCAGCACTATGCTCGGACTCTATGGCGGGCTTTCGGTTATTCTTCGTTTTGTCATTCCAATGATAATCAAGTCAACGATTGGACGTAGGCAGAACGCATCTACGACGGTAGACACATCGAGCAGACTACGAAAACTTAAGCGTGCCCTACTTGAATTAAATCTTTTTAAATCAGCGACGCGTCTTGAACCTCGTGATATCTATGAACAACGATGGTCAAGCCGACTCTACATTCTATTACTTGTGTTGACTTTCGGCATTCTCTTAGTGTATCAAGCAGTGAGCGCGCGGTCGATACCAATGAAGAAGGACGAACCTTTATTAAACACTGCATTAGACTTGCAAAAACAAGATTTTGCATCATCCCTTCAATGTCCATGTTCACAGATATCAGTACCACTAAAGAATTTCGTCAAGTTCAATCCACTGTACCATGAAGTGTGTCGGAATAAGACTAATTTAAATAAATTAGCAACTTACTTATCGCTTCACTTTTCGGCTAATTTTACTTTTAATAATCTCAGAGATGGTGATTCTTTGTTCAAGGTTCTTGCATCATTTTGCGAACTATCGGAAAGAACAGTGAATAACGCAATTCATGACTTTAACGAAATACAATTAGTTACTGAAAATCTTCTGTCATATGAACTCTTCAATTCTCGTATGAAGTCGAGTGTATCAGATCTTAAATCTATGACACCCATGCAATTTTTTGATCTCCTCATGCTTATTAGGAAAACAATGTGGGTTAACCAATTTATTACTTTATTTCAGACTAACTCTCAACTGGCTGTTCGAAATGACACGGGTCAAGTCATAGTAAATTTGATGACCATTGACAAAATTTTGAATGCTCACAACCAGTCCTGTTCAAGTTTCATGAATCGAGACTGTAAAACGCAATACTTTATGGAAGACACCTCTAAGTGTACTGATCCAATGTTACAGCTGACAGTGGATGGATTTTATGCATCCTTCTACCCTGTTGAATCGTTATTACTATCACAACTTCAAGGTTTTTATAATGCTTCGTTTATGCACCTGCTTGGACAATACCGTTGCGAAATTGATGGCGCTAATCACCAATTACGTGCCCTATCACAATCAACTAAATTTCCAGTTAATGCAACGTTTGCCGAGCTTGTCAATGAATTGTTTGTCGAATCTTGGAGAGAAACGCTGAACTATGCGGACTATTTCAAACAATGTAAACCCTATTCGTGTTCGTACACGATCATTCAAAAACCTTCTCTCAATTTTATAATTTCGACTTTGATCGGTCTATTCGGTGGTTTATCTGCTCTATTTCGATTTGTAATACCATTGATTGTGACATTCGTTCTCGCTCGTTGTCAGAGACAAGCACAACAAGAAGAGCCTTCGGAAGATATCCAACGAACAGGTAAGAAAGATTCAAAGAACATGATAATTATAGATCAGTCACATTCCTAAAAAATCCTCATGTGTTAGAAATATCTGGCAAGCCATAGAAAACATTTTCAATACTTGTACAAATAAGATTCTTCCAGATTTTCTAATGATCGAATTTGAAGGATAGTACATAGATACTTTAAATAGTGATCAGATCAAATGAAATTCGGAAGGCGTTCCGTAGTCCTATACTGCTTCTGTATCTTCGATGATTTATCAGATCTTCTTGAAAATGAAAGCTTTGTAGTTCGTTTTAAAACATTATTTACAGCTTCAAAAAGAATTGCAGAAAAATCTCACTTATAAACTTAACTTTAATGATGTGTGCACTAATATAGGTTGTTCTCGTATTAAAAATTTGATCATGAAGCTATGGAACAAACTGCGTACCATGATGGTGACACTTAACCTATTCGAAAATGTTAACAAACCACATCCTCCTGAAGAAGAACTACGAACTCAACGACAAATGACACGCGTCTATATATTCATTCTTATTGTAACACTCGGTATTGTTATATTTATTACTGCATTCACCTATCAAACAGAAACAATCTCTATAAACAAACGGACTCTCGATGTCTACGAAAATTACACACAGTTTGTCGATTGTCCATGTGCAAACGTATCTATTCCCTATCACACATTTATTGACTTGAACATGTCATTTCATGAAGTGTGCTCAAGTGATTTTATCAATTCGAGTAGTGAATGGATGAAAATGCTCTACTCCTCCTTTTTGCATGAAATCAATTCCAGTGATAATGTAACTACTTTTCAACGTATGGCTCTTTCACATTTTCAAGCTTTACAAGTCATGTGTGAGACAGCCATGCACACTGCCAATACTGAGCTCTATCTTTTCTTGCATTCAACTTTCTACTCTACTAGTATGATCAAATCCGATATATTCCATCAACAAATAAATGCTACCCTTTCCAATTTTAAGTTAGATTCTGTGTTCTCAAACTTTAATCATTCACTTCAATTGATTCGTGGTATGTATTCGAGCAGTGCTTTTATTTCAGCATTTGGTACTAATTGGTCTCCAAGAATCCGAGAAGTGAAGAACCATGCGAGAATCTATATGGAGCCTAAACAGTACAATATGCCATCATGTAACTGTGCAACGTCAGCAACATGTGTAGAAACAATGAATTTAACAATCAAGTCGGGATCAATATGGGCAGTGCCGGGAATGTTTTCTGGTTGTGTACCATTAGATTCAATGCTTCAATCTACTTTAGAATGCTTGTACGACCAAACATGCCTTGATAAAATAAGTGATGCACTTAATTCCTCTAAACCTTATATTCCATCACTCATTGCTAATCGTACTCGTTTTCATCCGATTAATATCACGAAATTTGACAATATTGTAAAAGAATTTTTCATTGAGAACTGGATTGAAAGCGTTTCTTTTGAGTCCTATTTCAATGCTTGTCATACAGATAAATGTACGTATACAATTTCCAAACGTTTTAAATTTGGGTATATCTCATCTACAGTTATCGCTTTTTATGGTGGTCTTAGTGTTGGGCTGACTCTTGTTATTCCTCTTGTCTTCAAAATTGGTCATAAGTGTCTCTTAAACCGAAACAGTCGACGAGTGGTATCTAGCAACATTTCTTAACATGTAAACAGTTAAAAAGTAATATTGTCCTCAGCTTTTAATGTAGTGACGTTTAATAAATGTACTGAATTGTATGAAATTCTTTATTTATCGCAAGACATATGCTTTCATTTTAATGAAAAATGATTTATAAGGCTCTTTCGGGTGTTTGTGAGATAAATACAATACTCACACCCAAATTCACCCACCCTCAAGATGTGAAGATTTCATTATAAGTTTTGTGGTGGAAATATAAGCTAATGGCAGAATCACCAAAAATCCACCCGAGTTCAATCTTATATAAAATAAATTAGACAATTTACTTTAGATTATGTTCTTGAGAGTGTGGGTGAAACTATTGCATCTTTAATCCACATTCGCTTACTTATACTCTTACCTACACCCACCCCTCAATGACCAATCACATTACGATTTTGAATATCAATATAATTATAAAAAAATAAAATAATGCTGATGGATTCTTTAACGTAATAACACTGTAAAAAATCACATTGAATAATATTCCTATCCAGATCAGTAATATTAACTGTACAAAGTACTAGAGCAAGAAATACGACGTACTCCAAATACAAACTGTTAGCGTAGACAATCAATTCATCATTTATAGAAATTTTCTGTCCATAGAGACCATAATTATTCGCCACCCTCGTATATCTGACTTAACAAATGAAATCCTATGTTTTAATTACGATAGAATAGTAATAGAATCTAAATGAGAGATGGTAAATCACTTTTGTTTTTTATCAGTAACTAAGTCATTTTTTAGTTACTTTGTTATATTTTACTTTAATTACCCAAGAGACAAATAAACTAAATATGTCACTTTCTAATATAAGAGCATTTCAAAAAACATGTTCCATTAGAATAAATGAAGACAAATTGAATTATTATATGTTAATCAAGAAATAGCTGTCTAGTATAACTCGACTAATATGAAGTTAAGCATTCATCAAAATGACAAGTTTGTCAAAACTTTGTCGAAGAACAATTTTGCATTGATGATAGTCTGTATGCATAAGAAAATATTCAAACATTATCCCACCTTACTATGTTCTACTTAAGTTTTCACTGCGTTCGATATATACTCTGAATAATGTTTTTTTCGTACATTAATACTTTTTAAATTATTATTGCTGAATAGAATGGTGTAGGTGTGGATCCGTTGGATCTCTTTAATAGGAGCTGTATATAATTTCAATGGAGATTTAAATTTTATTGAGTTTTCATGTGAATGATGTAAAATGTAGATGTGATACTGTTTTGCCAAGGACGCCATTTATTAATGTTCTTCGTTCCTCTCCTCTTCTCTTCTCTTATAAATATATATATGTTGTGTCTATTTATACATGAACTTTTCTTATATTTCAAATGAAAAAAAAACATCTACATATATAGTAAAGAAGAAAGAAAGAAAAGTGGAATGCTATGAACAAGAGGATATGTATACGTGCGACATTACTGGAACAATTATAACAATAGAGAATAGATAAATAAAGAAGAGACAATAGTTTGTGTCGATTGCTTCTATACTACTATAGTTTATACGTAATTGTCATACACACTATCTTGTGCATGACTGTTAAGTAACAAAAAAA